AGGGCAGGGAGGAGGACTCTCATCTCCTATGGCGGGGCTCAGCCTCCATGAGCTCTGCTGTAATTCGAAACATGATTATTTTAATGTATAAATATTCGTCTATGGACTGTTTGTATAAGCAGCTCTTTCTGCAGTTGTTTGATATGTGACATGTGAGCCATGTTAGTTTTTTTTTTTTTCCATATGCAAGTCAGATGATATCGTGTCAGTTTTCTGATTAGGAATTTCTTAGAAGTTAGAGCAATTAATTATGTACATTCTTATACTGAAGTGCAAAATTCACTTTCTGAAAATATTCTCCTCCACTTCCTACAACCAGATTGTTTCTGTGAACATTCCTGCCAGCAAACTTATTTGTTAGGGCCTTTTTAAAGCAAACGTACATGAGAATTAAAAAGCAGGAAAAACAAATTTATGGTTTCAATCAAGCAAATCTTCACAGGGAAAAAATGATATGATGTTTCAGCCCAGCTTTTCCCATAATATAGTCTCATTTCAGAAGTGATATCTAAATAAATCACAACTGTTTTTATAAAGGAGTAGCTCATTTTCAAAATTAAGTATTTTGAAGTAGTGACAAAACATAGGCAATGATTACCTGCAAATTAAAAACTACAGCTAATTTGGGGTCAATTGCTGAACAAAACATCCATACATTTAATACACAGAAGCTTAGTTAGCTGAATTGCAACTTTTTTTTGCATGTTGTAAGACATATTGGAAGCCTACATTCTGATATATGCATGTTAATATTTTTAGCGAACACAGTGTATTCAGCTGAATCCCTAACAAGGATGACATTTTTATTATCCTGAAAAAGTGGAAACTTTTGGCATGAATGATTCATCCAAAGTATATTCAAACTCCAGCCATTTTAATGCAGGTACAACCCACACTGGCAAACTGTCCTCAGGCTTTGCAAATCTTTGAACATGAGCTACATGGGATGGAGGGAATTAGAAAGACAAGACATGTCATTCTGAGTTGAACTCTATAGTATTCCAGAAGTCCACATTGTTTAGATAATACCCACACAAGATTTTAATTTTCTGTTATTTCTTTAAGACGTCAGATCTATCACAATGGGGACCTCATCTCTTTGTGGAATGCTGCTAGATTTAAATTCCAGAATCAGGGACACACCTTATTATGTGATTCAGTACAAGTGCTACAGCTTAAAGCACAGTGTGTTATGCTGCGCTTTTGTCATTCAACCAAACAGCTAGGTGCGAGAAACTTGGATTCTATAACCATCTCTGCCACAAGCTTTTTAGGACTTTGGGGAATATCCGTCTTGGTTTTCCTTATCTGTAGGTAAATAAAAGGCTGAATTAATAGCTTATGTACTTAGTGCCAGTTTTTTAAAATGTTGTTTTATATTTGATTTCCATCTCTCTTTAGTACCTTCCATCTGACACTTCTTGTCTAATAATAAAAAATTACTTTCTATAACTAAAAATACTAATACTGCTGTTGTTCAGAGGTCAAATCCAGAGTCCTAAAAGATCAAATCCAGACTTTTTCCTGATGGCTTAGAAATGGTATTTAAAGGTTTCCTTTTTTGGGAATTGACTTATAGTTGTGCGTGTATATGTATGTATATAACAATTCTAATGCACATATGCATACACATGCACACAACTAACCCCTGCTGCCCACCCTGAACCATTTTAATGCATATGCATTATGGGTGGGCCACACACACACACACACACACACACACACACACACACACACACACACACACACACACACACGAATGGGTCAGGGTGGGCAGCAGGGGTTAATCGATTTTTAAAAGCCTGGGTCACACATACAGTTACTTCAGCTTTCAGAAGCAGACAGACTTGTCTTAACACTTGACTTGTCTGGGAAAGTGGGGGCATGTAGTACACTATTCTATAACATGAGATGAAGTGGCACCAGCTTGCAAGGCCAAGCTAAAATTCCTGTTTTGGTAAGAGTGTGCATGTGATGGTCTTGGAATATGTTGATGGAAGAGGACGTGGACAGTATGACAACCACAGAGAGACCAATCGGTGACAGTCACAGATGTCATCAGGAGGGAAGGAGAATACAAAAGAAGGACTTTGGAGCAGCAAAGTGTCCCTCCCTGTTCTCATCCTCCTTGTCCTGCCTGGGTCCTTCCCTGTCCTCCTCCTTGAGAGGGTCCCTGAGAGTGGTTCCTGTCCCCCAGGAGGGGGTCCCCAAGGCCACCATGGACAGAGGGCACACCACCAGCCCGTCTCATCCATCCCACTGGAGGGGGGATGTAGGCCTTGGTATTCGACCTCCAGGCTGCTGACATGCTTACATCTGACACCTAAGAGAGAGCCTCAGAGTGAAGCCTGTCTTGGCCAGACATTTCTCGACTCTGATGACAGCCCTAGAATTGGGAGATATATAGAATTGCTTGACTGTTTGTATTGTTTCTTTTCTGTTATCGCTGTGTATCAATAAATTTGCCTATTATTGAATGGAAAGGCTGTGGTCGGTCTGAGGGTGGGACTGGAACAAGTATCTGGGTCCTAAATCCAGAACCATCGTTCCTAGAAAGGAAAGAAAATGTCAGTTCCTTTGTTGTTAGGTGCTGCTTTTATTTTTTGTTAAATACAGGAGACCCTTGCTATTTGCGGGGGATATGTTCTCATATCCCCAGCAAACAGCGAAATCTGCAAATAAGGTAGTGTTCATGAATGCCGTCTACATTCATGAATGCAGTGCCCCTGGTGGCTGGGGGGGGGCATGGAGGCAATTATGGTGAGAGCTCTTTTAAGTGTATTTAATATGCAGGTTCAGCATTCACGAATATTTGAAACCGCAAATAGTGAGAGTTTCCTGTACTTCTGGAGTCTTCTCTTTCAGTCACTAAGACCATGTTCAGCCATTTGCTACCTATTTCATTTTGCTTTATTTCATATGAATCAACAAAATGGATAGTTGCCACAATACAAAAAAAAATCTTCACAGCAACTTTTGAAATTCACATTAAGTGATTCCATTGTCATGTTGCTCTGAGTTATAAATTAAATAAATTATGGGAAAACAATTCAGGGTACACATTTAGGGCACAGTGGCTGTTGCATACAATTGCATATCATGCAATTGGGGCCTATGATAAAGCCTATGATAAAGTCTGTGGGGTGGGTGTGATGCATCATTCAAGAGCTACTAATGCCTCATGAAAAACTTGGGAAGTAGTTGGAAGTTGGTGTGTTTCAGGGGCAAAGTATGTGGTGGGAGAAACCTCCCTAAGGTTCGTTGTCTAGCTGTAATTTGATTGACAGACAACGCGGGTAAAGAAAGACAGCTGTTTATTTGCTTGAGCAAAGACTATAAAGCCAGCAAAAGGCAAAATGGCCCCCCCCCAGGGTGAGGTGATCTTTTATATTTATTATAACAAGGCAAGACTCTATGGTTAACAAAAAAAGCAATACTTGGGCGGTGCTTTTTAAATCTTTGTAACAGCATATTTTTATTAAGCTGAACGAGCACTTTTTTAAAAGCTAAAAGTTAAGTAACAGTAACATTATAATATGTTAGCAAAACCTTACACAGTAGTAGATACTTTTCAAGGACACAACGGCACCCAGAACAATGGTTTCCCTGTCTTATCTTACTTCTTGTTGTAGCTGATTTTTCAGCACACAGACACAGATCCACTTTTTAACTCAGAAAATGCTTAATACAGTTAAAATGATTACTTGACACAAGCAAAGGCTTAGCTATCATTCTGCCTTATGGTCAGCTGTATTGCTAGGCCACAGGTCATGCCTTGTATTTAGCTGTAAAGCTAATACTTCTTAATAATCCAAATTATTGTTAACCTAACAGTATGCTATCAGAAAACTATTCTATTTTAGGGTAATAACAAACATGTTCACCACAGTATATTTGTTTCTCTTTCATTTTTGCTACTAAGGGTTAATGCAAACTTTAAGGATCTGATCTTGTAAAGTGCTGGGCACCCTTCACACTTATGGATGTCAGTAGAAGTTGCCAGTGCTCATTCCCTTCCAGCATCAAACCCTGTGTTAAAATAGTAATTTGCTCCCGTCTTCCCTTTCCTAGCTGGTCTCCATCATCCTTCATTCTGACTGCAACTTGCTGTTGTCCAAGAAGAAAGATTTCTGATGGGTTAATTGCCCTAGGATTATATGGGTTATCCATGGCACTAAATGTGTCAAGTATATTGCAGAGGGAAGAGCCTTTGTGAAAAAAAAACCCTGTTTTTCAACAAATTTTCTGCAAAGTTCTATTAACCCCCTCAAACTGTGTTGAAGATATGAAGACGTGATTGAACTCAGCTTTCCTTAGCTATTGACATATTTGCTGTTCCCTGAAAAGTCACAGACCTCCTCCAACATAACTCTCCTCTCTTCTGCTCCGTGTAATAGTAGTATGTCTCAGGGTCTGTACAGAAGTCTAGGCAGCCTGTTGGGAAGGTGCTTTAGCCATGTTCCCAGGAGGCTGCCAGACCACCCCTTTCCCCAGCCCCAATCCCAGCCAGTTGCAACTGTAAGCAGCAGCTGTGGGGAGGGGGGAAGATGGAGCCCCCCACTGCATGCCTTCCCTTTCCTTCCCCCCACAACTGTCCCTGCTAGGGTCTGGGGAGCAGCTGAGCCAGGCCCACATGGCAGGGAGGGCTCCCTTCCTTCTCCCCACACTCCATGTGAATATCTTGACAGTAGCAGAGGCTGTTGCACCCAGAACTGGGGCTGGGGGGGAAGAAATGGAGCCCCCCCACCTTGTGTGCTCCCCCAGCTGTCTATGCTGGAGTCTTGGGGGGAGCTAGGATGGGCCCAGGAGGATGTTTTCTCCCCAAGTCTGGGTGAGGCACTCTGCTGCTGTCAGAACCTTTGTGTGGGAAGTGGGGAGTTGGGGAAAGGGAGACCCCCTTGCCATGTGGGCCCAGCCCAGCTCCCTCCAGGACCCCAGCAGGGGTAGCTGGTGGGAGGCTCATGCAGCAATGGGATTCCCTTCTTTTCACCCCATCTGGCTGCACAGGGAGGAAACAGGTTTCCTGTCTCCTCTTTGTGACAGCCTGGGGGCGGGGTTGGGTTCGTGCTTGCCCACATGAGGACTAGCCCAGTCCCACAAAACTGCATAGGATGTGGGTGGCATTGCCCAAAATTAACCCTCTCAGGGAACCTGTACAGAGGTTCTCTAAGGTGCTCTGCCCTGCAGCACCCCTGTCTGATACTACATCAGATGAGGGTTACATTTTCATGTGATTTGGCCATTTTAAAAGTGCTCTGCAGCTGTGAACATTTTGTGTTGTGGATATAGAGAACATTCTGGGGCCTCATCATGTGAAAATGTAACTTCTGTGCACACCCTCAGAGGCAGGTAGGGCCACTCCTACAATCCCCCACCTAGGGGAGTTCTCCCCAACATAGAGAGTATTTATAGCATGAACTGTGTAGCTAGCTCTTGTCACATCATTTGTGACACATGCAGCAGCTTTCAATTCTCCTCTCTCATGTAGTGATCTGCCTCTCTGGACTGAGTCTGTGTATAGATCCTGGACTAGGGAATGATTATGTACTTGGTAAGACAGTAGATTGAGCTATTTTGAACTAAAATGATTTTCCTAGCTTTCCAGAAAAATTCAGCACCTCTTTCTGAAGGATACAACTGCAAATGAAGCATTAATATGGAGCCAAGTTCACTGGATGGCAGTGATTCATTGTGAAGTTCTAGTTTCTCACTTGTGGAGTTTCAATTTTTAAGGATGCCTATAGACATGCTCATTAGCATTCTAATTAGAACACACTGGAGTAGACTTGATTAATTGAGTCTGCTTCACATTCTAATTAGAACGCTCCAGTATTGCCTCAGCATCACATGTTATAAGCCCTTTGCATTTCAAAATGGTCATGGGGGCATTCCAACTAAAGCTTGTCAAATGAATTTTATAGTGCCCCCTGGCCATTTTGAAACATGAGAAGTAGGGTGGGGGGGCTTTACACGTGATGGTGAGCCATTTTAATTACACTGACTGTATGGGAACCACTCTCATTTAAAATGCAGATGATGAATGGATTAGTCCAATCACCTTTTTAATTTAAATTTTGGACTGTTGCACCTTGCATCATTCCTGATGATATTTCTTATGTTCACAGGGGCAAAGGGATGTCAGAAAATTCATGTTGAAGTCCTGCATTAGAACAAATTCAAAATGTGTCCATTCTGGCAAATTAAGGGACAGATCTGGTAGGCACGCTCCATGTGCGTCATGTGCATTTGTCATTTTTTCAGTCTTATCAAATATAAAGTTGCTTGTAATGCTTCTAAAAAATTTATTTTGGGATATTCTTTTTTTTTTTTGCAGGGGGGAGATGAAGAAACACGATCAGCAGCTCCTACGCTGCCAGAAATATGAAATCAGCAATTTTTCTCCTTTTGAAGAAATCTTATTAAAGTGATTAGCTTTTAAGAGCAAGCTTCACTGCAGGAGTGCAAAATCCTACTTAGTAGTCCAGCTGTACGGTTTCAACATCTTATCTGTCTCTTAGTAACTCATGCATTTGGCAAAATGCTCTGTACCACAATGCTATTGTATTACTTTGAAATTTTATATTTAGCATTAGAGCAGGTTCTATGAAACAGTATAACTCCTGAGTGACTTTCAGATGCATGATGTGGCATGATGTGATCTGGGCATGATATTTTAAAACAACCAATTGCTGGTTGTGCACCAAAGTTTTGGTTCAGTTCCGACTAACCCACCCATTCGTTTCATATCCTTTCACTTATCTAGTCCTGTCTCAAATACAAAACAGAATAAACATGTATTGGATCAATGCACTCAGCAAAGTGTGTCCTCCAGGGGATTTGGTTTTTACCTTTTGTACCTCAGAGAAAATGACAAGGGAGGAAGGGACAGAATAGTTCAGTGTAGTAGTACAAAATGGAAAGCAGAACTGGGTGTTAATGGCATACTGAAGTTGAGGTCTTGTGGGATACACAAACTTCTTTGTAGTCTTTTGTCATTATGAAGCTAACTTATTTAAGATAGAACAAGGAAATGTGATGACTATGTTAACTGTATTAAAAAATCAAGGGTAGAATCTGTTACAACTTGACTGGCATCAGAAATATTGCAATACGAATACTGACTATTGAATTTGATCACATTCACCTTTTCCCTCACTATTATCCTTTCTCCTGACCAGGTAAGGCAAAGGCTCGAGATAGTGTTTGGTAAGTATTGTGTCCATGTTTTGCCCTTGGTAAATAAATTTCTTGCAAAAGCAAAGCTGAGGCTTGTCAGTCTGCTTCAAAGGCACTGTTTGTTACTCCTAGATATTCTGGCTTCTTCTTGTGCTTCATCCACATTTTTCTCAGGATGCCAGGTGTTCCACACAAGTTGCTGCCTGTCAGAGGTAAAGAAACTTCTGCTCCTGGGGTCAAGGCTAAGTCATAGTCAGTGTTCTTCTTTGAGTGCCTTCTGTAGCTAGAGGATAAAGTAGAAGGCAGGGCAGATTTGCACCTTGTGGACTAACCAAGGTAGATATATACTATATATGCATATACAGTACAAGCTTTTATGAGCTGTAGCTCACTTCAACCGATGCTGTGAAAGGATGGGCAGAAAGCAGACTATAAAAGGATAGAAAAATTAGAATATAAAAGCGTGGGGGTGGGGAGGGGCGGGAAGTGGGGTAGGAAAAGAGAAAGGAGGGAAGGGAGCAGTGCTGGGAGAAACAAGCATTAAATCCTTGGGAACCAAGGATTCACCAAAGTTAACCCAGGTAATAGAACGAGAATCTGTAGTCTCTATTTAAACCATACGTAATATAATCCAGACTGTGGATGATTTCTGTTTCTGTAATTTCCCATTCAAATCTGTTCTACTTGACTTCAGGCTAATGCTACTAACTGAATCTCTCTGCTAAAGCATAAAGAACACACAAAGCATTTACTTTGTGGTTCCTTTCCATGTTTATCTGCATACATTTCATTGTGTTTAACCAATCTGGATTTAACATAACGAGCAATTTAAAGCAGAGAGAATGGAATTACAAACTGATCCCTCTGCCACCCAGAAGTGCTGCTAGCTTTTGCCTGGGGTCCCTACCCTCTCACAGCCCATGTGCATACTGGATGATTTGCACTATTTTAGCCTAGTTGTATCCTATGCTTCCATCTTCCTCCCCACCCTGCCTCCCATGGCCAGGTAAAGGTAATTGTTTTGGTTGCTTGCTCCCAAATCCAGCTCTGCTGTTACCTCCCTTCTTTATTTTGAATCTCTCTCTAACATGGGCCAATAACTCTGTGCTGAGTGAACCAGATACTCATTTTAAAGATAAACACAATGAAGAATAGTGACACTGACACTACAAAGCTGAAAAGCACGTTCCTGCCCTGTTCCTCCCTTGCTCTGGAAGAAATGTGTACTCATATGAACTACTATTCTCATCAACATGTAGGGACCTAGCCAAAATCTGCCTATCCTGCCCATTTGTTTACAAGGTGGCAGCATCCAAGGGGCAGGAGCTATGTTGGGCATCAAACCCAGAATCAAGTTTTGGGTAGACTGACTCCTTGTGGGGCACTTCTCTTCCCAAACAGCAAAAAGGTTGATCTTGTTCACTAACTTCAATTCTCTCCCTTGGTTGCAAAGAGAATATCCGTGTGAGAAAAAGGTCTGTTGGGTCATGTTCGTAATTAGGACCTAAGTCCTGAGAATGCTTTGAATGTAGTGTTGTTACTCACTGTAGCTACATTAAAGCTAGCATCTGGTGCTAAGCTCTAGTTTCAGTGGCTTTTGGAAGTTTCTTAGATTATAATATCTCTTTGGCAGTGATTGTGCAGATCTTAAAATTATATAAATTAGCAAAGCTTCTTTCATGCCAATGGAGTTATCACATTTTATACTAGCTGAGGCCCTGGATCAATGTGACACAATAGTTAGGGGGTTATTAACAATTACTCAGACATCTATTTGTTTTTTCTATTTAAGTAAGAAAATTAATTATGTTCAATACTTTAAATAGCTTATGTTAATATCGCATAATCAATAAACTAGCACCTCCAGCAAATGTTCTGAAAATAAATTACTCATGTAATATTGATGGTTGAGGTTTGTTACTTCAATGCTGAGGTAATTTGCAACTGGTGTGTTTGTATGTGTGTGTGCACATGCATATATGGGTGGCTTATGATCTAGGCCACCTGCTAACTTGTCCTTAGGGACAGTGCCCTGCAGCCCCAGACACAGCTGCAAGGGTTGGGTGGATGTACAGAAAAGGACTTACTCTTCTGCAAAAGCACTGTCATCTGTAGCTGATGCTGTGACTACAGCCCGTTTCATTTTGATGTGGGTAACTGGGGATGCCGGAAACTGCAGGCAAAAAAAATGTCATTACAAACTTCTGTATGTTTCTTTAATGAACAGGGGACTTGGAGCTATTTTGGAGAGAGAGGCATTTATTAAAAAAAAATAAACCCCCAGAACCAGAAATTTCTGTGAAAGGAAATCAAAGGCCCTGGTCACTGTACCTTCAACCACACACACAATCCTGAATAATGTGATTGGTCCTGTTCTCTTCAGTGGTGCTACTCCCTTGAGTAAAGATTACACAAGCAAGCAAATGTTGGGGGATCAACGCCTAAAACAGCCTTTGGATTTGATTGCCCTTTTGATAAATAATTTCCTAAATTCTGAGGGCCAACTGCTGACCTGCCAGTAGCTTCAGCTTTACTACAACCATACTCCTCCCTCCATTTCACAAGTGAAATTGTATCCCATAACAGAGGGTACTTCTCCACAAGGGGATTAGGTTGGTCACACCATCTTTATATAGAATGCTGAGGTTCTAGACTTACTGCTTCGTAAAAGATACCGGATGTATTAACAAGTACTGCAGTTCCAGGTATGTTACAAAGGTATTTCATCTTACTGTATTTTACTTACTGAAAATTTTCCATCTGAGTGGTTAGCATAGGACTTGGATGACTCTTGTTCAGAACTTCCCACTGCAAGCATAATATATATGGCATTATTAGCAAATAATCATTATTCTGATGGACTTGGCTTTATTAAAAGCATACTTCAGACTCTTACATGTTTAAAAGATAATATGGAAAGTGCTAGTAATTAGTTACAGTTCTGTTAGTTTTGACCACAGCCAGCTGCAAAGCTCTATATAAATGGCTTGATTCTGTTACGTCACAGTAAGACAGCTAGAAAACACTAATATTAACTTGCAAGAAGTGAGCATTTTTGTAACTGATGTTTTTAACCGGACCAACTGCATGGTTGGGATAGACTTAGACAAGTTTTTGAGTACCCACAAAAATCCTTGTCCCTTACATACATGCCTTTTGCATAATGTCGACTTGGAAAGCTATAGCCAAGAGTCACTTACCTTCCTGTTTTTGAAATGGCAATTTCAGGTATTAGCAATAGACCAAATGTTGAAGCCCTTGTTTAGTGTTTCATTGTGCTTGTATTTTGTGCCCCTGTTTTGGGGGCAGAAAAGGAAGCTACAAGGAGCATTCTTCCTACCTCCCTTAAGCAGAAGCTGAACAAATGTAGTTCTTGAACTCCCAAGAGATCCACCATCAGAGCTGGTCTGGTCAGAAGTGACAGTTATGTACTAGCCACAGAAGTTCTCTGTACCCAGGCACCCTGACAACCAGAAGGCATCATGGCTGGGTGTTATTCATATGCACTGGTCCCAAACCAAAAATGTGCCTTATAACCAAAAATGGGTGCTCAGTGTCTTATATATTCCATATGCATGTGATCCCTCTCTCTGAGGGAGTCTTTTTCAAGGACCCAAGGATCTGACTTCACATACAGAATCTGCCCATCCAGTGAGAGGAATATGGACTTCTTTTTAAGCCTTTTTCAGTTCCTACTAATTGGGTACATCTACATGTTATGATACATCATTGTAGCAATGCGCTATGGTGACATAACATCTGCAGGCATCTACATGTGACCAGCAGCTACTTCACCAAAGCAACGTGCTCCCCCAGTATAACGCACCACTATGGCAATGTAGTTGCTAAAAATAACTGTGCGCTGTGTGTATGGTGTAGTATGGGCTGTTATTGCACTGTGATTTAGTACTTTCAAAAGGAAGTACTAAATTATAGTACAGTAACAAAGAAGTCATAGTGACATGTGTAGATGTGCCCATTGGGAACTTCTACACATACCATTAGGGGAAGCAATAAACTGCAGAGCTTATTGTTCTGCAGTTAATTGCTCCTGGGAAGCTCCCGGACACATGCCCACATGTGCGCCTAGAGCACAGCACACTGAGCCAGGTTGTAGAAGCCCTGTCTGGTAGGAGGCCCCAGGGGGTCAGCTTGCCAGTTGGGAGCTGTTCTGATCTGATTCAATGTGCTATGGAGGGCCTGGCTGGGTCACAAGGGTGCTTCAGTGTGGGGTTAGCCAGCAGGCAGCCCCAGCGCTGAAGCACCTTCATGTCCCAGCCAGCCAGTCAGTGTTTACTCATGCACTATTGTGCATGGAAAAACTCCACAGCAGGGTAGGACTAGTACTTACAAGCACTATCCTGCTGCAAAGTTTTAGCTTTGTATGCCCTAATAGGGGCGCATGTAATAGACACTGAGGCATTTACTGCACAGTCAGTTAGGCGACTGCACAGTAAATGTCTTGTGTAGATGTGCCCATTGTCATTTTTTCTGCTGCTGTTTTACAGTTTTCAATTAAGTTAACATCAGAAACCTACAGGAAAATCAAGGATTCATCATGATACAATGTGACACACGAGACCACCACAACTGGAAAAAAAACAGTATTAGAAAACATAACAAATAAATGGTCCAGCGTAGCAATTGGGGTTCCCAGCAGTCTGCTTCCAGATGGTAGCATCTGGTTTTAATAAAGGCTCTAATTATGGTCTATGTCTCCCATAGTATCCTTAGGTGTAGTGCATTCTGACTACATCCATTAGATTAGATGTTAATTTAAAGCACTTCCTCCCATCTTGCATATTAAGTACTAATGATATTTACCAGGTGTCTATAGGCATCTGATCTTGGGCTAGCATCCATATCATTTTATGCCAGATTGTTTTTTTTCCCCTCATTTCCCCCCTAAGCGTATACCTGACCCTTATTCATCCTTCTTTGGCATCAAACAGAATGTCACTGACAGCATCAATGAGAGTACTGAAAATAGGCTCTTTGCTTTCACTTCCTTTGTTAAGCCTCACTAGTCCAAATCAACTATTATAAAGAAAGCCCTTCTGAGCCCCACTGCCCTGGGATGCAGCATATTCAGTTATTCTGTGGATTATAACACATGAGCACTGAGGTCACATACAGGACTGGGAGGTGGAGCATGCTCGATCAAAATGGGATTTTCTGAGATTTTTATCAGCTAAAGACCGTAGCTCTCTACTGTGTACATGAAAAGCATGATTTTTTTAAAGAATTAGAAGTTAGCCAAATTCACATGTATTTCCACAGGAGGACAAAAAGCCACAAAGGCTACCTCCCTGCCAAATTTCAAGTTCCTGCTCCAAAACAGGAGGGATTTTTTTACTGTGGCAACACAACATTTTTTCTTGTTCTCAGAAATGGCTGCAGTTAAAACAATGAGCTCAATGCTGGCAGCCAACACATAGCAAGAATTAGAGATGGTAATGTGAGCAACTGAACACAGGGTCTTAAAACCCAGAGTTGGACCCATCTGTACCACATTTTAAGACTTTCAAATGGAAGAGTTGACAGTTTTGAATAAAACAAATGCTGTTGCTTCAGCTTATGGCTTCAGGGAAGTGTGCTCTGTACTCTCCCAATCATTATCTTATTTGTTTTAATTGTAGTTTTTAATGAGGAAGAATCTTTTAGATAAGTAGCACCATGCTCCATTTCAGTGTAGACTTTGTGCAAGTAGAAAGCTGCAATGGCAAGAATGTACTGAGCAGTTGACACAGAGAAGGCAGAGTCATAAAATCATATCTGAGAACTTACTGTGCTTGGCTGCACATTTGCCAGGAAAGAATCGCTGCTGGCTCTTTTGCAGGCAGCCAAAGTTCCTCACCTCATCCTGCCTGTACAGGACTTGGATGAGATCACCTTGGCGTGGCAGCAACTCATCCATCCTGGGAGGTCGACAATCAGACACTGCTACCACCTACAGGAGAGAGGCAAAACTGTTCCATTACATGTATCCTTCATTTAGGCTGTGCCTGGACTTAGAGCCTTCATTCAAGTTACTACAGTGAGTGCAGTCTATATTAATGTGACCTGATGAAGAGTGTCTTGTATTTGAAAGCTTGTCCAACTCAATCCCAACTGCTCAGCTAATCTAATAAAAGATATCACCTTAAGAAATCCTTGCCTCTTGCATCTATGTTAATGGCGTTAGAATCATAGAAAATTAGGGCGGGAAGGGACCTCAGGAGGTCATCTAGTCCGACCCCTGCTCAAAGGGGGGCCATCCCCAACTAGATCATCCCAGCCAGGGTTTTTGTTGAGCCAGGCCTTAAAACCCTCCAACGATGGCAATTCCACCACCTCTTTAGGTAATCCATTCCAGTGCTTTACTACCCTTCAATGAGAGAGTTTTTTCCCAATATCCAACCTAAATTTCCCTTGCTGCAACCTGAGACCATTGCTCCTTGTTCTGTCATCTGCATTTTCATTGCAGCATTTCATTTTTAAACTTGCCTGTTCATAAACGGAAGAGGATTTTTTTTATTTTGGTGTGAGCCTGAGGCATGTAAAAGCACTGGAAAATTAGTTACATTTTCTGGGAACAAAGGGATGTGTTTGTCTCTTTCCATGTTTAAAAGGGCTAAAGTGAATATTTTTAAAGTAGTCACTGATTTTGGATAGTAGATTTAATACAGCTTGGGTTTCCCCATAGCCTTGAGTTATCATTTACACTTTTGCAACGCAAATGCTACCAAAACAGATTTCTCCACTCATTTGAACTCATTCACATTTTACAGTCTTGGTTATAAAATGCAAAAACTCACAAGTCCACTAAATAGCAAGTGTGGATGTTGTCTGCATGGTACACTAAATTCTGTCATGTTCTGTTGAAAGGCAGCTACCTTGATTTCATTGCTGGTTGAAAAGAACATCTAGTTGTTGTTTGCACTATTGAAGTACATATTTTTAATTTTTTTAAAAAGGGTCCTTCCTTGCCTCATGTCTGACAACAGAATTGTTTTACCATTAATAGACTAACTGTACATTAGAAAATCCTCCTCCTAGGTAACTGCTTCTTACATTTAGGATGTGTACAAAACAAAATGACTTTTCAAAAAGTTTCCTTACACAAAATCAGATCCTAATTTTCCTTAGCAAAGGACTTTCTAAGTTAATGTTGAAGTTGATTTTTTTTATTTCTATCAACATGAATCTACAATATTCTGTATGAAAAGCGCACACATTTCATAGAACAGAAAAATTCCCACTTTTAACACAATATAGAGTTTCAAAAAATAAAAAGTACTTCCTTTCTGAAGTCTGAATAATCCAGATTATGACCAGATGAAACTGACCCAAATGGAGAAGGATCCTGCTG